GGAGTAGTCCGCCTGGTACTTATCTCGGCTATTCTTGGATGTTAGTCTCCTATTTTGTTACTTTATGTTACCCAGATGAATGCAGTCTTTCTATGTCTATCCCTCTCTTTCTGACTCATTTCACTTAGCATGATACTTTCCATGTAGTACCACTTGTATGTAAATTTCATGACTTCATCCTTTTGACAGCTACATAGTAGAATTTCTAGTAATTTATATAGCAGCACTTTCCTCATGCAATTTTGGGCCACACCCAGCAGTGCTCAGGGCTTGCTTCTGGATTTGTCCTCAGGGATCATTCCTGGCGGGATTTCGGGGGCCACATGGCATGCCGGGGATTGAACCCAGGTAATCCACATACAAGGCAAGCACCCTGCCCACTCTGCTCTCTCTCTCTGCCCAAGCTGTTGAGTATGTGAGCTGCACATAGTGACTTCATTCCCAAGTGTACAGTGCTGTACAATATTACTACCAATGGGGAGCTATGGAATGGGGGGGGTTGTGAAGAGAATTTGTGATTGTCCTTTGGCCTACCATGCCCTTGCCAGTGGAGTGCCCAGGGTGGTCAGACTAGGAAGGGTTTGCACAAGCTCCTGTTGGTACTGATTCTGAGTGGGACTTCATGCTAACCCCACAAGGGCAGCTGTCAGCTGCACCTGGGACCCACATGATGATCTGCATGGTTTGGGACCTGCAGTCGTTAGCTCTCGAGATTTCAGGGGACTTTAGAGCTACAGTTCCCAGGCTGTAGTGAAATTTTTGCCCTGCACCAGAAATGGAAAGTCAGTCCTAGGCCCCTGTCCAGGTTTTCCAGGTTCAGTATCAGTTCTCACAGAAAGAAACTTTAAGAAGATAAATATTAAAAGAAACTTCAAATGGAGGGAGAGAAACAGTAATCTTCAGAAGAGAATGTGGGCTTCTTTGGAGAGAGGAGAAGGTCTCAATAAATTTTGAAAGGGGTTATTGTGTGTGTGTGTGTGTGTGTGTGTGTGTGTGTGTGTGTGTGTGTAATAAAGTCCCTTGGCTTAGAGTTCTCTGTGCAAATAAGTTATTGCCTGAGTGGTGTCAAAGGGGAGGACTGTGAACTTTTTGATGGGCCTTCATATTCTTATTACGACCTTCTGTTCCTGCTAGAGAGAGTACAGGCGTTAAGGCACTTGCCTTGCATGTGACCAACCCCATTTCTGTATCTGACCCTGCTGGCTGATGCATAGCACAGCGCCCTGAGCACCTCTGGGTGTAGCCTAAACCCCACCATTCTCTCCCTGCAGAAAGGTGGCTTTACAAATCAGCAATGATAAGTCATGTTGATGGTTTGATGTGATGAGAATGACTGTTTACCGCTGCTCTTTCTCCCATGAACTCATAACCCCAGAATATTCTCAGAATATTTTATCTTGTTTCTTAATCTGTTATTAAAAATAAAGTCAGAGAAACTGTCACAAGACAGAAGACGACTAAATATAATGTGTCCTGGATCACATCCTGGAACAGAAAAAGGGCAGAACATTGGAATAATGTGTGTACTTTAGTTAATAATAGTGTATTAGCTCTGGCTCCTTTGTTATGTCAGCAAAATAGAATAAATGCAACTAAATTTTAAGCTATTCTAAAATTAAAGGTTTATTTTTATAGAAATCAGTTTTGAATCATTGATGAATAAGTCGGTGGTGATTAAATTTCACCACCCTTATCTTGAACGATTTGAACAATATTAGATATGGTCTATGAGACAAATTCAGCATTTATTTTCTGACCCATTTTCTCAATTGAGAACTATTCCTTGCATGCATGAGACTTGACTTTCCATTCAGGGGACAGTTGTGCAGTATTCTGTGGCTTATTCTGGAGAGGGAATTTCTGGGCACCTTCAGGGAAACATTCTAAATCGATGTGAGGTAACAAGAATATAGACGAGACTATGTGAAGAGCCAAGATCTCATGTATACTTACTTCCTTTTGTACAAATACAAAAGTGTTCCTGTTACAGGTGACCCGTGTGAGGTTGCCTAAGGTAGGAGTGCTCCGTGGGGATGAGTATCTCTTGGCCTTGACAGTTGCACTCCCACTTGCTCATTGTTGGCCACAGGGATGCCAGGCAGTCATCCTTTAATGGGATGTGCCCGGATTTGAGTGGGGAACTGTATTCATATTCTACCTGCCCCACATTCTGGGCACATACACAGGCACCGTCACAGAGATGCCTAGTTAATAGCGCAACATTATAAGTGATTCTCAACCACTAGCCCTTTCTTATTATCAGTGAAATCATCATCAGTTCGATACTATCAGTGAAAACAGATACGTCAAATAGATTGGGCATTAAATATGCTGCCCCCCACCCTCCCCCAAAGCACTGCATCTCAGTTGAAAAATAAACAGAATATCCTAATGCAGGGCAACAATGAGTGGAGCCCATTGAGGGTAGGGGCATGGGGTCCCTTGAGACAGTGATGCAGGGAAGTAGTTACTGTAGTGGGTATGGGGTTGGAGTGTTATGCATGGAAGCCTATTATGAGCACTATCGTAAATCATGGCGGCTAAAATAAAAGTAGCACTGTAGAACTGTCCGCCCGTTGTTCATCAGTGTGCTCGAGCGGGCCCAGTAACGTCTCCATTGTGAGACTTGTTACTGTGTTCGGCAGATTGAATACGTCATGGGTAGTTTAAAAATAAATACAGAAAGAGAAAAATTTACTTTAAATAAGTAAAATGCAGTGAACTCTGTTTTGTGTCTGGTCAGTAATAAAAATTTAACCTGATTCCATAAGCTATAAAGTCTTAACAATTCTTTGAACATTATAAACATTTTATGACATTTTGATGAAATGTAGGCAACAGAGCTACACCTAGATGCTTCAGCTTTGGCATTTGATGCTGGAGGTCAGACTCAGGACCGGGCATCTCCCTAGGCTGATGTCCTTACAGCTTAGTTACCTCCGGACCTCACCTATGTTCTTAAGGGTGGAGGTCTTGGTTTGGGTTATTAACCTTGGGCTTGATGTTTCAGAACATCTAATAAAGATAACACTACTGCCTGCCATCACAAATTTAAATTGAATGTAGATTAGCGGAAGAATTTAATCCTTTACTTATGGGTTTTCTTTGTGCTTCATGTCTCTTACTCTGGAAGAGTTAAAAGTCTTTGGAACTTTAAAAAAAGTTTTTTTTAGTCTTTTGAAAGGTTTTATCTGCAAGGATGAAGATATAACTCAGTGGTGGAGCACCTGTTTTGAATGTATAAGACCCTGAGTTCAGTCCCCAGCACCAAAAATAATTTTTTAAATTTTAATTTAAAATAAGATGTTTGGAGATGGTGGACACCTTGGGCGAAGGCTTTCAGTTTTTCACCGTTGAATATATTGACTGTGGGTTTGTTGTAGATGACTCGAACTATCTTGAGTTATGTCTCTTAAATCTCTAGTGTTTTTTTTAAGGGGAATTTTTATCATGAGTAGATACTGAATCTTCTCAAAAGCTTTCTCTGCTCCAGTTGATATAATCATATTAGCTTTTTCTTTCATTGATACAGCATATTACATTCATTGACTTACATTCTATTAATTGATTTGTGTGTATTGAACTGTGCATCCCAGGATGAAAGCCACTTGATTGTGTGCATAATCATTTTGATAGCATTGTTTGATTCAGTTAGCTAAGATTTTGCTGAGGAACTTTACATCCTCAACACACCCTTAAGGATATTAGTCTATGATTTCTTTTTTAGTAATATCTCTGTCTGCTTTTGGTACTAGGGTAATGTTTGTCTGCTTTTGGTATTAGGGTAATGTTTGTCTGCTTTTGGTATTAGGGTAATGTTGACTTCAATATGATAAAATATATTCAGTGACCAGGAAAGAGCTATCAAGCCATGAAAAGACATGGAGGACCCTTTAGCGCCTGTGAGAGAAATACGTTACACACGTAGTCTAGGATGTCGTCGCCTGGAAAGGGCGACACTATGGAGAGTCAAAGAACCAGTGGTTATTAGGGGCTCGGGGAGCACAGAAGATTTTTTAGGACAAGACATTTTTTAGTATAAGATTGTAACAGTGGGTACTTGACATACATTTGTCAGACCCATAGAACTAGATAAGGTAAATTGAACCCAGAGTGATTTAAAGACTTTAGTAATGATAACATCAATGTTATTCATCAGTTGCATCAAGTATTCCACATTGATACAAGATGTTAATAATGCAGAATCTGCAGGAGCTGGGTGAAGGGCAGGAAGAAGATGCTCTAGACACTTGATGTTCCACTCATGACCCCTTTTGTCCGAGAAATGCAACAAAGAAGAGCACCTCCAGAAACACCCCAGATATTTTTGTACAGTTGATTTTGAATTAATATTTGGTATGCATTCAGAAACCATTCAGTGTTGCCAAATATTTTATCTCCCCTTCCAATCCATTCAGATTCTTGACTCCATATGGGGTTGTAATCCACAATTTAAGAAGCTGTTGCTCTGGAAAATAGTCTTTAATTTTTTTATTTTATTGGGTTCAGATTTTACCAATGTTCTCATGTGAAACTTGTTATTTTGAATTGATTTTTTTTAAGATTATTTTTTTATGAACTCTGAATTATGGGAGCATTTCAGGACTACCTATTTTCTGAATAATCTGTTAGCAAGCACAGTTCAAGTTAGAAATTCGCTTTTTGCTTCCTTAGGAACTGTGTGTTTTTCTTTGTGTGTATAGTTAGAGAATTCTATTTTTTTCTAGTATTAGAATCTTTCTAATATTTAATGCTAGAATAATCCGAGTCATGTGTCTTGATTTAAAGAAACATAAAATTCTTAATTTCTTTGACTCTCAGATGGCCATAGAATAAGTCCTCTCTAAAATTGCTGCCACAAAATCGGTATTTTGAATGTAGTGAAATATGATAACTAATCAATATTTCAGAAGGAATTTAGTTAATTGCTACGGAATTATTATGGCTGTTTAGCAGGAGGTTTTGGGAATTCCCCTGATTTGCTCACCCCTGTGTTTCAGATGCTCTTTATGTGGGTATGTGTGTAGCCATCCTCCATCCTTGAAGTCTCATATGTGGAAGCATGCAAGTGACCAAAATTACAACTACGAGCAAGTAAACAAGGCTATTAATGATGCGATTTCACAAAGTGGCAGGTATGTGTTCCTACCCTTTCACTTCACTGTCATCTATTAACTAAGGTTGGAATTAAATCTGCTTTCCCTGCAGTATAACCAATTCAAGGTTTCCTGTGTTTTGCTTTTAAGAGTTCTGGGGAAGTCCCCTGCAAAGTCTGTGTTAAACAGTAGTGAAGAAAGAGCTGACCCTGTCACTGGAAGTACAGAAAACTTTCTGGAAGTACAGAAAACCTCCGAGCTGATTCCCCAGGCTCCCAGTGAAGTTGTAGGTACCAACGAGAATGAGAAACTGAGCCCTACAACTAATACCTCATACAACTTAGAAAAGAACTCCAGTCTGGCCCCTCCTAGTATGGAGTATTGTGTTTTGCTCTTCTGTTGTTGTATTTGTGGTTTTGAATCTACCAGCAAAGAAAATCTTTTGGATCATATGAAAGAGCATGAGGGTGAAATTGTGAACATCATCCTAAATAAGGACCACAACACAACTCTAAACACAAACTAGATGGGATGATTACTGGAAGAGGAAAAGCGTAGAAGAGGAGTCCTTTACTTTAAACCGCAGTTTCACCTTTGCGCTATCAAATAACTTACTAGACACAGAAGTAGTTGGTGTGGTTTTTGAGGAAATAGCAGGCGTGACTTTTGAACCAAATTTGTAATGGAATCAAAGGTATTCCAAATGGTTGAACCGTACATATTTAAATATTTTGAGTGAATAGTCATGGGTTGAGGAGGAAGCAAAGATATAATCCTATATTAACCCTCTGTTATATCTTCTTAGTATTGAGTATATTTATTATTAAGAACTATTATAGTGTAGAAATGCAAGCAAAAGTGTTAAGGAAGAACTTTTCGGGAACTATTTTAAAACATAGAAATGTCACGGTCTTAAGCAGAGCTTGTTTTCTTCATTCTCAGTTTTGATATGCCCGCTCGCAAACAGCAGGCCTCCTGTCGGTGGACACTGCCTGAGATTTCTTTGTGGTGTTTACCAAGAGCAGAAAGAAACGATCATTATTAAGGATTTTTGAAGTAGTCTCCTTCATGTCCTCGAAATTGACAAGAATTAATCATATATTCGGTCTAACCCGTTTTGCTTTATTCCTTAAAAAAAAAAAAAAAAAGAGGCCTAAATCCTAACCTAGGATTTTTAAGATAAATGATGGTCTCAGATTTATAACGAATCTTTGGTGGGCAAAGGAGAGAAATGGGTGAACTCCCATCAGACTGCAATCACATTTCAAGGCCGATCGAGATGGTGAGTCACGGGGCAGAGTGCATTCCCCACAGCCCCTGTCGCTGTGTTAGAGGACAGCGCACATTTTGCTCTAGCTCCGTGGGCTTCCACTCCAGGCCAGGCCACGTGTGCTGCCTGGGAAGGGGTCCACACAGTGCAATGTGAATTTTTACATTGATCATTAGACCTTGGAAATACGTAGAACCATTAAGTAAAAATTCACTTGAGGGAAGGAGGTGAACTTCAGAAGTCTCAGAACTGAATACTGCTATTGAGCTTTTGCTTCCTGACGTTGAGCGAATGAATTAGACCTGGCAGAAGAGGTCTAACTAAATAGGACAAAAGTATAGTAAAAGTTCTAGTTGTTTATCGGAGTAGCAGTGTCTGACACATCTACAGGGTTTCTCCTATCTAGGAAATGGCATTTCCTTTAGTGTGCAATAGGAGATACGGAAAACCAACTCAGAGTGCTTTTTTACATGAAAATTCATCATCGCATACTGAAATCTCATTGGTCACACATTTTGTATTATGATGTATATCAAAGGGTGAAGAGAACAGGATTTTTGGTTTTCGTAGTTCCGATCACTTACGCATTGCTTTGTTAAAGCAGATTCTGTCTGAGTGGCAAGGTGGGTACACTGTAGTGCCCCATCTCCATGGTGCTCCTTCCGAACTTGGTTCCTCATCTCTTCAAGAGCGGAGGCTATGGCCCTGCTCATCGTAGGAGATATTGGAAGCAACTTTTGGATGCGATATATTTTAATAAAGACTCTTTAGGAAAGAATCCTCTTTCCAGAGTCCAGGTATGAATGGAATATATTAACTTTTTTTTTCTTTTTTTAAAGCTTAAAAACTATTTAAGTGGGGCCAGGCATCTTGACACATTATCCGATTTGTATTCATAATCTCATTTTTGATAGTGGATATTTAGGCAGTTAATTGTAACTTTGCAGCTGTTTGATTTAGGTAGTTTTTGTTTATGAAAGTTAATCCACTTCTGATACATGATTTATAAGAAGATAATATGACTGTGTATATACACACTAAATTATATTCCTCAAATCCACTGTTTGTGGATCAATATTCATTTTCTTCATTTCCAGAATTCAAAGACATTTATATTTCATTTCCAGTTCAAGTAAAAGATTTTAAATAGTTCATTATTATTACTCATTGCCACTCAATATTTTTTTGCTCTGACTCAGTGTTTCTTTATGAAAGACTCATTCTTAGTAATCTTAGAATTTAGTTGTATGAATTTTCATGGCTTCAACTTTTAATCGTTTGGAAAATACTTTTGACCAAAAATTTTTTTTAAAAATCCTCTAAATTTTAAGAGTGAATGCCAAACACAGTAACAACAAAGTCTCCAGTGGAGACGTTACTGGGCCCGCTCGAGCAAATCGACGATCAACGGGGAGGGCCTTTACCTTTTTTTAAATTACCTACTTTATTTCCTAAAACCACTTCTTTTGATTGATACTTAAATTTCCCATTTGGAATCATGGATTCAAAACTTTGTTACTCAAAGCCTATAAGCTTTCATCCAGACGTGAGAGCCTCCAAAACTGTGAGCTTTCATCTAGACTTGAATGACCTCCTGGAGGAACCACATCCTGAGGACATATGTTGCCATTTTCATTCTGTGACAAGCCTTAAAAGTCTCTCTACCCATTGAGTATTTCTAAAAGTGGTAATTCAGACTGAATACGTGGCTTTAATTGTAGGAGAAAGGTATTAATCAGAAATTCACAGGATTAGGAAGGACATTTTTTTCATCGGAACAAGATTGTTTGCCATACAAAGCTCATAGTATTTGTTTTCCCCTCTGAATACTCAACACTTCTAAGATTTGATAGTGAAAATAGTTTTTGGAAGAAATTTACTGGATAAGGTAAAAGTGGAGGTGGAGGGAAGACAGTGCATTCTGATGATTATACTTTTCAGAACTCGTCGGTTCTTCTCTCGTAATCCCCAGAAAATGGTTGGTGTACCAAATATCCTGATAATACCATGCCTATATTCCAGTTGAACTGTGGACTTTTCAGTTCTGAGTTCTGTGTCCAGCCAGTATAGTGTAATAACACTGACTGGAGACTTTGTTCTAGATCTTTCATCTACTCAAGGTCGCTATTGGTGGTTTCAGTTTTGGTATTATTTCTCCTGTCTTTTCTTACAAAGCAAATGGTGGGCACCCATGTTTACATTGTATCTTCCTTGCAATGTACTTGGCTTGACAAAGACAAGCAGGCTTCTTTATTAAGACTTACTATATTTTTAGTTTTCATAGACACTTATTTAATCTTTTTTTATTGTACAGCAAGGTGCTCTAAGTAATATTCTATAAAATATATTTAATAGAAATTTGAGTTTGATATTCATGCACATGAATACATGTATTTTTTTAAGAAATAAGTATTGTGTAACACTATGGCATTGCTTCTATAGCCAAAGTCTAAAAATTTCTGGAACACTGACATGTAAAGACTACAGTTAATTCTGACACTGTATCTTATTAAAATAGGGTGATTTGCATTTTGTAAAATTATCCTGCACATCGAGCTGCATGCCTTAAAGACTAAAACTCTAGGATTGTGTTCATGGTAGAACAGTTTCATCTGTTCAACACACAGTGAAGCAAGGTCAATAGCGCTTCTCTAACTACCTTTGGAAATACTGTACAATGTTAGAATAATTTATTTTGCTTTACAGGAGTTTGTCATGTATTGACTTTAATATTGTATTTTGGTAATAAATTTTTTGTTAAAAACACTTGCCTCTTAAGTTTTATTAATAAAAGGTTATATTCTTATCATGGAAATATTGTGATCACTTGGAAAGTTGTATTTAATGAGGTTCCCAGAGATTAAACCAAGACTTACGATTTCCTTTTGGTAACTTGTTGAACTATTAGTGACTAGCATTGAACTGTGTCACACAGTGATAACTGAAAGATATTTGGAGGGTTCTTTGATCATCTTAAACATTTGGTCTAATTTTGAAGCCTTTTTTCCTTGCTCTATTGTTCATTTTTATCTTCCAAATGACATCATTGTATGCTTTTAATTATGATAGTCAAAGTGCTGGAGACTGACTCTGTTAATGACAGCTTGCTTTTTGAGGACCTTGATTATCTTGTGTTCTATATATGAAATAGCTTGTTGCACTAGATTCTTTGCATTGACCAGGGAGACTGATACTGACTGCATCATTGGTTTAGTTGTCCATTTTCACTCTAGAATTCCGGACAATTTCATCTTCAGGTATCTGAGCCAAGTACTCTTAATTATGTTCCCTATCTTTAATGAACCAAATTCAGACTCTTTGCCACTGAACTCCAGATTATAAATCCTAGTGGGAAGGAGTTTCAGAACATATGGTGCAGTTTGGTAGCCATTCACCCCATGTGACTGTCACACACGTGGACTCTGAGTGGCACGCTTTAAATGTCGAATATACAGCAATTTTGAATACTTAGTATACGAAAATGTAAAATATCTCAATAGTTTTCTAGACTGGTTACATATGGAATATGATATTTTTGGATATTTGGGTTAAATAAAATATATTATTAAAATTAGTTTCACCTGTTTTTATTTTACTGTAGCTTTAGGAATTTTTTAAATTGTTATGTTGTGTTTGTTGTACAGTGATATAGCAAATATTTAGCAAACTACATCCTTTGTTTGGGGGTGGGTGGGGAGGATGGTGATTTTGACCACAACCAGCGGTGACCTCTGGCAGTACTTGTCTATCGGGGCATTCAAACTAGAGCTGGCCACTTGCAAGGCACGCACCTTGTACTGTCTCTCTGTCCCCATTACTTCCCTTTCATAAATAAAGTCTTATTGGAACATTTATGTTTTGCTGTGTTCAAGATAAAACAGCAGCATTGAGTAATGACAAATGTGACCCCAAAAGACGAGGTTTCTTCTGCTTGACAATTTGCTGACCTCTGAATTAGAACTATGGTATAAGCTTTACTTGAAATCTACCACAAAGAAGGATCAGAAGGATCACACAGAATGTGAGGCCCTTGCCCCACACGTGGCTGACCCAGGTTCTACCCCAGAATCCCATAGAGTCCCCTGAGACCACTAGGAGTGATCCCTGAGCAAAGGATGAGAGCACAGCCAGACATGGCCCCAAAACAACAACATAAAGAAACTGCCAAGAAAACACAAAGTATTTCATAGTACTGTTTTATAATTAACTTTTATAAAATGTTTCCCCTTTCTTTTCCCGGTCTGTATGACTTCAACCTAACTCACTGTTTCATCATCTCTGGTATTTAACACCAAACACAGGTTGTTTAAAATAACAGCACATTTAAATAATAAAATGTCGCTGCTACAAAAATGGATGCTTTTATTTTCTCTTGACAACCTTAGAGAGTCATTGCTTCTCCCTGTCAGATCTGTGAGCAGTGTACCACCTGTACTTTTAACTCCTGCAAGGAACCCATGGTAGCTGATTGCTGACCTGTCAATAGCCTGAATAATCCAGGAGAGTAAGAAAGAGGTTGGGTGGGACAGGGGGATTGGAGAGATAGTACAGCAGGTAAAGGACTTGCCTTGCATGTGGCCAGCTTAGGTTCTATCCTCAATGCTGCATATGATGCCCCCAGGCACCACCAAGAGTTATCCCTGAGCACTTTGGGCCCTTTTTTCCAAAAAGTTTCTGCTGGTCATTGATAGCACTGTAGCACTTTCCCTCCTGTTGTTCATCGATTTTCTCAAGCGGGCACCAGTAACGTCTCCGTTGTGAGACTTGTTACTGTTTTTGGCATATCAAATACACCACAGGTAGCTTGTACTGTTAATATATTTCTTTCATGTGTTTTGGTTTCTATCTTAGACTCAAAATTAGTGTTATGGCTTGCTCTTCTTCAAGCCTATGTTTTCCCTTGAACACATTCTCTGTCCCTTTGCTTGCTTTTTACACACATCTCTCTCCTCTCACATCTTCCTAAAAAAATTTCAATAAAAACCGTCTTGCTGGGGCTAGAGCTGTAGTACAGAGAGTAGGGCATTTGCTTGCACGCGGCCGACCCAGGTTCAATTCCCCAGCATCCTATGTGGTCCCCTAAGTATTGCCAGGAGTAATCCCTGTGCATCGCCGGATGTGAGCCTCAGAAAAAAATTTTTTTAATGAGTGTAAGATGCTTAACTGGTGGCAGAGGCCTACCTTTGCTGCAAATTCCACTTTATTTCTACCATTGTGATACTGTGGATTTCATTTTTCTGATACACATGAATAAATACACTATTTGGTTCTCTCATCTGAACCACAGAGTAAGATCATGGCATTTTGGGGTCTTTTTAATATTTTTCTTCTGTCCATTAGTGGGCAATTGCTGTTTCACTTGTTTGCCTTCCAACAGTAGATTAGAGTTGGACTTTCTTTAAATTGTAAAGTTTATTTTTAGATATCTAATATAATTGGGGGGGTTGTTTGATTGGTTTTGGGGCCACACCAGCAATGCTCAGGGGCTATTCCTTGCTCTGAACTCAGAAATTACTCCTTGCTGTGCTCAGGTGATGCTGGGGATCGAACCTGGGTTGCCGTGTGCAAGGCAAGCACCCTACCCACTGTGCTGAAAAAAAAAAAAAAAACAGTGTACTTCTAATTATCCTTGCCATTGCCATTAGTATCATTGTTAACCAAATTTTTTTTACCTTATTAATAAAGTTTATCATCCTAAATGTGTATATAATGGAAGACTGTGACCTGAAGAGACTCAAAATTTTTGAAGTTACTCATGGCTAGGTCTATTATTAGCACCCAATTGTGTTATTTAAAGGCTTATTGTCACTACACTGCACATCTCCAGATTTTTGTTTTCTCTATTTGTCATTTTATTAATTTTAGTATCCATATTTCAGAAATGTGCTGCGTTTTACTGAAATAGGCACATCAATCCACATCTTGCTCTTTTTTTGTTTATATCTCCAGTCTTATTTAAATTCAGTATTTCCAACCACAAAAGGTGTTAGAAAATTCTATTTCAAGCCTATGAGAAAAAGTACAGCAGGACGTGGTTCAAATTTTAAGCTGTGTTTATTTCTAGTCCTCTGCAGCTAACTTTCTATGGGGAAGATAGTCATGCCGAAATAAGTCATGGGAGGAAACCAGTGGTTGCAGGGCCATCTTCATTTCCTAAGCCCTTCTCTGGATGAGGCACAAGTACACAGTTGAAGCAGTGCCTCTCTGTTACAAGGATGCCGAGGCCCTTGCAAAATATCACCACGTTGCTTAAAACTGTTTAAGTTTCAGCTCGTCCATATCTGTACGCAGCTGGAGCAACCCCGTGATCATTGTGCAGCTGCTGATAAACTCCAGTGTGCTATCTGACAGTATTTGAAACTCACTTTTTAAGAGCATGGGAAAATGTGAATCTAGCTTTTGGGAAAACTCACCATATCCAATGTGAAGTCAAGAAAGGACATTCCCAGTGGACAACCTGCCAGAGATGGCATTGAAACGTGGAGAGCTGTCTCAGCTTATTTGGAACAGGGTTTGGTTTCGCCTTCTTGTTTGCTTTGGGACCTCACCCAACAATGCTCAGGGGTTACTCCTGCCTGTGCACTCAGGAATCACTCCTGGCTATGCTTGGGAGCCGATAATGAGATGCTGGGGATTGAACCTGGGTCAGCACATGCAAGGCAAGTGTCCTACTCACTGTACTGTCACTCCGCCCCTGGTTTTACTTCCTTAACCTTTTACGACTTCTTTTATTTTTATTTATTTATTTTTTTTGCTCTTGGGGTCACACCCAGCAATGCTCAGGGGTTACTCCTAGCTCTGTACTCAGGAGTTACTCCTGGTGGTGCTCAGGAGACCATATGGGATGCTGGGAATTGAACCCGGGTCGGCCGCGTGCAAGGCAAACGCCCTACCCGCTGTGCTGTCTCTCCAGCCCCATGACTTCTTTTAATTCCTGTTCTGAAATGCAAACTTGTCAGTAAGGTGTCTACCTCAGAGTTATGTTGATGAGATGGGTTCATCTCTAAAGTACCTTGTCAAAATATGACACTTCTGGTGTTTGGTGTCAAGCCATGTGATCTTGACTAACACATTCAACTTTTTTTTGAGCCTCCATTTGCTCATCAGTAAAACATAGAAAATGTTTAAACCTTGTTGGGTGGATGAAGATTAGCATCCATGTATATAAAAGGCCACATGCAAGGCAAAAGCCCCACCTGCTGTACTATCATTCCAGCCCCTAAATTACTCATAGTAGAATTTCAGACTAGCACCAGTCCCATCGTTAGTGTCAACTTCCCTCCATGGTTGTCCCCAGGTTCCCTCCCACCCACCAGCCTGCCTCCTTGACAGATGCATTTTTAAGTTTGGTTGTTGTCATTTACATTTCATGCTTTCAGTCTTATTGGTTACACACCTCTGTACCACCAGCATGTCCAAGTACCCTGCCTTTTGCCTCTGCCTGCCTCTTCTGATTTCATCCCACTGTTTCCTTCCTTCCCAGTCCTCCCTTACGTAGTCTAGAAACCAGGGTATTCTAGGTATCTCCCTCTTAAGTCTCCCCCAACTAATTAAAAACTTGCATTCCCTGTCTTGTTATCCTGTAAGCCACAAAAAAACTGAGGTGATCTGGTATTTGCCTTTATTCCAACTTCTTTCACTCTCTGTCTTTCTTTGGGTGTGTGTGTGTTATGTGTATTATGCTTTTATTATTCACTCGTCTGGCATTGCACATGTAGATTCACCATAATCCACATCCAAATTCAGATGCCATCCTTTAAGCACTTAGAACAGTCAATAAAAACGTTTAGTATCATAAAATGTCCCAAATAGCCAAATACATACTAATAAGAAATTGAGAGGTATTTTATTACCTACCTTGAAACTGCACTGTAAAGCTATAGTGATCAAACCAGCATGAAACTGGGATAAGGGAATGGAATAACCATTCTCTGACCAGTGGGTTAGAATCAAATACCCACAGACAGATCTCCAGATACATGGCCAACTACTTTTCAACAAAGGGCCTGAGTACATGCAGTAAAGACAGCCTCAATAAATAGTGCTGGAAAAATAGAATTACCATATATTTTTTTTAAAAAGTTGGATTCAGATCTCACATAAAAGTCAATTCAAAGTGGATCAAAGACCTTGAAATCAGACCAGAATCCTTAAAGTACATTGAAGGAAACATTGGCAGAACACTCCAAGATTTGGACCTTAAAGATGTTTTCAGTAATATGATGCCATCGACGAAAGCAACAGAATGATGAGACTTCTTGAGTAAGGCAAGAAATGCCTTCATCGTGAAGGCTCATCTTCTGACTGACTCCAAGGAGTCTGACTACCCTCATTGTAAAGTTCCTGCAGGCAGGTCTACGCCAGCCTTTTCATCTGAGGCACTATTCAGCAGGCCCTACAAGTAGCCTTCCTAGTTCCACAAATGAATGGACTTGGGTTTTGTAGGAAAATGACAGATGATAAAGTCTAATTAGCAGCTGTGTTTAACTGCAGGAACGTACACTTAAATGATCAAATGGACTGAGAGCTTTGTAGTCACGTTCCCAGCTGAGTTATACCTTGCAAAGCAAAACC